AACAGCAAGATGGCTTGAGGGACTGAATATGAAGAGAATACTTGCATGAGGGACTAAATAGGAAAAGATGGGCAGAGATAATAGGAAAAAGAACATACAGAGCCATAAAGGCCATTATATGGTGATGACTCTACGTCCTTCAAGTGAGATAGAGAGCATTTGAGAAAATTTTGACAGGGTGAAATTTACATTTAGAAGATTATTTGAGTTGCTCCATTGGGATTAAATTAAGGGAACACCAGTGAGAAGACTATTAAAGTCTATTAGTTTTCTAGAGGTGCTGTAATAAGGTACCACTGATTTGATGACTTAAAACAACAGAAATTTATTTTCTTCCAGTTCTGGAGATGATGAGTCTGAAATTAGTGTTGGCCAGGCCATATTTCCTTTGTAGTCTTTAGAGGAGAATTCTCCTTTGCATCTTCCAAGTCTGATAACTCCAAGTGCTTCTTGGTTTGTGGCAACATCACTCCAATCTGGCTTTGTCTTCATATGACATTACTCTTCCTGTGCATTTTGATGTCATCTGATTGCATTTTGAAGATAGAATCAGGAAAAATTGCTACTAGGTTAGATGTAACCTGTGAGAGAAAAATGACTCCAAAAATTTTTACTGAAAAAACTGGAGGAGTAGAGATACCTGAGTTTTTGCAAAGAGAAGAAGATTAAGAACTTTTTTGTTGAATTTGAGATTATTTATTTAGAAAAGCAGTTGTTGAGTGGATATATAAGTCTAGCATTCAGGACAGAGATCTAGGTACAAGATATAAAAACATTACATTTAAAAATCTTTAACATACAGAGGAAAGTTAAAGACAAGTAACTTCTGGGAATACCACAAAAGTGAATATAATTAGAAAAGATGGCCCAGGTCTGGTATTCTCCACTATCAAGAAGTTGGGTGAGAGCAGAGGAATCAGCAAAGGAGACCAGCAAAGAAAAACTGAGAGTGAGAGGTCTTAGAAGCCAAGGAAAGAAAGTGTGGCAAAGAAGGGGAAGCAGTTAAATGGGTAAAAGAATTGCAAATAGTTTAGGTGAAATAAAGACTGAGAACTAATTGTTAGGTTTAGAAACAGATATGCTTATGTGATTATTATGGTTTAGATCTAAAATGTCCCTCAAAAGTGTCATGTGTTTAGAAGTGGGGCTTTTGGAATGTGATTGGATCATTGGAGCACTGCAGTCATCAGTGATCCATTGACGGGTTTGTTGCTGAATGTGCTGTTGAGAGGTGGGGCCAGGTTGGAGGAGGTGTGTCATCAGGGGTGTCACCTAGAAAGGTATAGTTTTGTCTCCAGTTCCTCCTTCCTCTTTCTGCTTCCTGGCTGCCATGGGTTGAGAAGCTTTCTTTCACCATGCCTTTTTGCCATGCCTTTCTGCCTTGGAACCAGCTAACTATGGACTAAACCCTCTGAAACCATAAACTTCTCCTCCTGTAAGTTGCAGGTATCAGGCATTTTGTCTCATTGATGCAAAAGTGACTAATACAATGACTTTCACAAGAATTGCTATGGAATGGTGGTGGAGAAAGCTTTTCAGAGTGATTTCAGGAAAGAATGGGAAGATATCGAGAATGTTTAGATCTACAATGATCCCTAAACCTCTCATAAGTTAAGAGGTGGAACTTTTGGAGGGTGGTTGTATCATGGGGGCCCTGTACTAAACAATAGGTGGATTCATCCACCAGTGAGTTCAGCAGCTGAATCTGCTATTAGGAGGCAGGTCTGGTTGGAAAAGGTGGGTCCCTGGGGCCATTACCTGGAAGTTTAGGTCTTTTTCCTTAGTTCCTCCCATGCTGTCTACTTCTTGGCTGCCATGATGTAAGCAGCTTTCCTCTGCAGCAGGCTTTTCCACCATGCCATTTCAGTGTTTGAGTCTGCCAACCAGGCACTAAAACTTCTGAAACAGGAACTAAAATAAACCTTTCCTCCTTTAACTTGTAGGTATTGGGTATTGTGCCCTAGTAATGAGAAAATGACCAAGACAATAATGTTTGTGAAGAATGGAATGATAACACAGAAAGGGAGGTCAAGAAAGGCTTTCTTTCTTTTTTAAATATTGGAAACAAAGTAGCAAGTTCATCTGTTGAAGGCAGAGATCAGATGTTTATCTGATTTCCTTGTGAGGTATGCCCTCTGCTCTCCTGAAGCTCCAGCATCTTCTCATCATCAGAAATCCTTGCTCCTGCTTGTATCTCTTATACTGGCTATTTTTTGAGGAGCATCTTATGCCCTGGATTACCTTCTTTTTATTTGTTTCTTCAGAGCATGACTTTCTTAAACAGTATCATTAGACAATTTTTCTGCCTACTGTTTCAAGTTTAAGCAATGACTTATCAGATCATAGAGGTGAAAACAATTTGCTCTCTCAAACCGTACATACATTTAGTTCACTGAATTCTATCCAGCAGCATCTAATGTCTACACGAGGCAGGGATTCTCTCTTCCCATTTCCATGGCCTCTGTCCTGGTCAGGTCTTTATTTCCTCTCTCCTTGTTTTAAGTAGCTTTCTAAAAGGTCACCCCTTGGTTCAGCTGCTTATTCCTGCTCAATTTTCCACACCTGCTATCAGAATCCCTTTTCTAAAATGCTAGACTGACCTTGTTTTCTCGTGCTTTAAACTGTTTGTTGGCTGAAGCTACTCCGAAATGCTCAGTATCTTCTCTATATGCTTTGCAAGTCTTTCTCTTTATGCACACTTTTCTTTTGTTTTGACTGCCCCTTTTCTATGTTATTCTGTAGTAAAATCAATTTATATTCATCCTACAATGCCAAGTTCAGTTGATCTTAATCTATGAAGACTTTTCTTTTTTTTTTTTTTTTTTTGGTACCGGGGATCGAACTCAGGTCCTTCTGCTTTCGAGGCAGGCGCCGGAACCACTGAGCTGCATCCCCGGCCCTATGAAGACTTTTCTGACTTTTCTATGCAGTCCCAGGAGAACAGATTGTTCTTGCTTCTGTACTTTTAAATGATTTTATATATAATAATATCCTATTTGAAAAGTGCATATCTGGATTTATGAGCATACTATGCCATCTGCAAAGGTAGATACCTTGACTGATTCCTTTTTGATTTCCCACTTCCCAGTATTTAGTTCCTGGCACCCAACAGGGATTGAACAAAATGTGCTAATCAAGTCCTTGTCAAGGGCTGACTTTGCACTCTACATGAGCAACTATCTCAGTAGGCTGTTAACTGTTGCTGTGGGGATTTCCCTTCCTTGTCCCTGTAGGCTCCCTTCCTGGAGATTCTCTTTCTCTAGAGGGAAGGGTTAGCGCATATAGAGTCTTTCTGTGCTAACAGAGGTGTCCTACCACTACCATTCTGGTGTCTGGTTGTGGCAGCCCATGAAGGTCACTACTGTCCTTGGGCTCATGGAAAAACCTTTTCCAAAAGTCAGGAAGACCAGAGATAGAATGCCAGTGACTAATGCAAAAGTAAGGAGGTTATTTTTAGTTTGAATAGCTTGTCTTTTCCTTCACAGGTAAACGGAGAGTCATTCACCCCTTCTGCAATTAAGAAACAGATTTTCTTTTTCTCTGGGAATGTCAACAAATGAGATGCCTTTTTAAAGGCTCAGCCAGAAAGATGTACAGAGCTTTCGCCTGTTCATTAAAATGCAGTTTTTAATGCAAGTCATATCTTGAGTTATTTTCACTGTGTCACTCCTTCCATTCCAGGGGATGAGGCTGGCTGCTCTGGATGACCTTTAAGGCAACCTTGCTAATTAACAAGAAGCCACAGACCCAGACTTCAGACTCGGAGATTGTCCACTATCCTGGGACAGTCTAAGATCAGACCCCATATTTGTATATTTGAATTATTCTGGATCCACCATGTCCTTGGTCATTCATCTACTGTCTGTTTAATTCCTGTGACCCAGAGGACATAGGGAAAGGGAGTGCACATTTGATAAGAGAAAGAGTTAAGGAGGTTTCAGAATAATACATGTTTTCCACGAAGGATGCATTAGGCTGGGGTTTCAGTTACCAGTTTCATCTAGGGAATCCAGAAGTTTGCACTTTTTTATCATTAGAAAGAGAAATTTCTTATGCTGCTTTCCCTCTATTATCTGGAGCCTGCATCATTGACTTCTTTCATGCAAGACATGCAAGACAGGGCAGCCATGTGGGAGAACACTTCTCTGTTAGGAATTTCCAGCTTCTTTCCTTTAAATGGTGATAGGAATGCCTGCCTACTTCAAGGTTTGTTAGGATTATGAGATGCGACCCTGTTCGTGAGCTGTGAAATGCTATTCTCCTGCAAGCTGCCGTGAGTAAGGAGCAGTAGGCTTTGTTCTGGTGGGCTATCCTCTGTCATTATGAGGCAGCAAGAGCTTGGGTGTCATTATGCCTATTTAATAATGAAGCTTTAGTCACAGGTCAGAGAGGCCACTTTGGGGATTAATCCACATTTCTAAACATCGTGTCATCCTGCATCCTAATTCACGTTATGGATGCTTGAAAGAAGAATGAGTCAGCCAACACCATTTTCTGTAGAATGCATTCACTGTCCTTTGAGGAATTAACACATTTTGTCTTTGAAAAGATTCTTGTCCTTGAGAATCCTTCAGGGCTGAGACAAAAACACTTGAAGCACATCCATCAGTACACCCATGAAATTAGAGCACACACTGAGAGCATGAGTCAAAGAGTATTGAGTGTGAAAACCTGAAAGGAAAGAAGGGAAAAGAAAAATATGAGAAAAGGATAAAAGTGGAAACAAATTATTTGTAAGTAGGGAAGGGTGGAGGGGCACGGGAAGACCGGGGAATGGGGAAAAAATAAGAACCAAGATACATCATGTAAAGGTACAAGATCCCAGTGATGAAAGTAACTATATTGTATACCTAAAATGTACCAATAAATAAACTTAATTTAAAAATCATTATAACTTATAGGCTATATGACCTTGGGCAAGTTACTTAATCTCCCTAAGCATCAATATGAAAAAATTCAAATATTAATATATTCTGATTAGGGTTATTATAAGATTTCAATGTAATAATGTTGGTGAAATAGTTGGTGAAGAGGATAAAAGTACATAAATGCAGTACATACAAAAGGAGCAAAATATAAAATAATAAATATGATAAAACAAAAAATTGTGAAATTGTGGAATGTGAAAAATAAATGTTAGATAAATTAACACACTTGATAGGACCAATTATTGGCAGCATCTTACTTGGGTCCCCTGAGATGGGCATCTTTGGGCTGGATGGTGCCCAGTGTATAAATAGTAAAGCTTCAGGTATTAGCTGAGGTTTAGAAAGGGGAAAAGATGAGGCAAGATGACTCAGCTGGAACCTACACAAGGACCCAGACAACAGCTCAGTTATAGCAATGAGGCCCATAGAGCAGGGGTGAAGAGGTGAGGTCTGGGTGCCCCATCAGCCCAAGTCTGAGTCAGCAGCTGGGGTTTGGTGGGGGATGGAGAGGAGGGGAGCACTGTTGGTGAGCTGTGCGCTTCATGCTGAGTGTGTCTGGGACCTGGAGCAGCACATTGACTCCTTTCAGATGTGGAAATGAGCATGCACAGCAGGAAGAGTCAGTAGGCAAGGAAGTGGGCTTGAGAGGAAGACAATGTTGTTGGCAGGAACAATGAGAGCAGAGGTGTGTGTGGTAGTGAGCCAGGTAGGAAGGGAGAACAAGTGAGCAGGTTTGGTTTGAGAAGGGTATATCCCAAGATGGAGGAGTTTGTTTTTTGTCACACCAAGTACAGAAATATCATAGTGACTAAGCAAAAAAAAGAAAGAGAGAAAATGAAGAATTGGGCTTAGTGAAATCTAGTTTAATGGCTGTGAGTTGGGTAGACTCGAACTACAGGTAAAATAAACACAGGATTGCAGGTGAGAGATCAGGAAAGTTGTGGTCAGCTCTAGAGACAAGTGCGAAAAGTTGCTCATTCAGAACCCAGCCAAGATATAGGGTTTCTAGGAGACAGAGCAGGATCCTTTCTTTGCCTGCTTTGTTACTGACTCCATTCAGTTAGCATTATGAAGAACAGAGACTTCTGGAGAGATGTCCTTTGGATCGGCCAGCCAAGCTGTTGCAGAAGTAGATAGGAACCATCACCATGAATTCAGGCTCCAGGAGTCTCCATTCCACTCAGGGCTAAACCTTTATTCTCATGACTCAGCAGCAGAGAACCCTGAAAGAAAAGAGAGCCCTTTAAGCTCTTTGGAACAGAGAGAACTTTCTTAACCAATATCTCTATTTGGCAAGATGCTTAAAAATACAGTTAGAGAAGGAAGAAAATTTGGAATAGTTTTAATGAGGGGAAATAGGATACCCAGAAGGGCCCCTTGCCAGCAGAAGTTAGAGGGTGGATAAGATATAATTGCAGAATATAAATGGAATGGAGATATAAGGCTGGTAGCCTCCCTCAGATCATAAGCATCTTCAGAAACTCCTGAGATTCTTTCAGCATCCACTCATCACTATCTATTTCCCTTGAGATGAGGGGGAGCTGGGAAGCAATTCAATAAGCTCTTTTATGTCCTTACTAGAGAAAAAAGTTTTGTTGAAGCTTAATATGGTTAAATGCCAGATTCTCAATAAAAGTAGCCTAATGCAGTAGGAAAGATAGAAAATTATGACTCAACATACTTGAGTTCTAATCTCACTGGGATCCTTTGAATGCTAGGACCATGGTAACCTCAGATTATCCTTCTGGTCTTTTGATAAATCTAAAAAGTCATTTTGAAAGTCTTCCAAATTTAACATTTAATAATTCTGAAATCTGTAATACTACAGGAGAAAAAACACAATGAATCAATACTTTCCACTTAAAATGGATACATTTGTCTTGCTTTAATGAAAAAGGAGGTTTGAGACTCATTAAAGGTCAATTTTAGCCATTGAATCAATGGAATCCATATCTATGTATTTGTTTCTAGACTCTGGAATATTATTTTCCTGTGATTTATGAGAACAGGAAGTGCACCAGAAGGATAAAAATGACTTGATTTTTAAGTTTTATTCTTTTCAGAATTTTTTATTCTATATTCTTCTGGAATGCATATTTTGATTTAAGTCGATGCCAGACTATTCCCAGGACTTGTGATTAAGTTTAAAGTATCTATGACTTTAAGTCTTAAAAGCAATGGATTTTCATGATTTTCAAATCAATTCTTCTTTCTTTTAGCTACTATGACCCTACTTCAAGTTACTCCTCTTATTGTTGCCATGGTAATGATGGATGACATCACTGAATCCAGAAACAGGCAATTACCCTAGAAACTAAATAAGCTTTAGTGATTAAAATACTCAAAGAAGATATAGACTTTGGAGCTAAGCTATGGAGATAAATCTGTTTTCCTAAACCATTTTCTACTTCAAACTAGAATATATTCACTCTATTATCATGACATCTTTCTCTAAGAAGCATAAAATGTTTCACAGAAACTCAGTGTTGATTCTTACCTTTATTGAAAAGAAGCTGTTTGCATGTGTATTACATTAAAAAATAAATAATTATTGGTTTTCATGTTTCCCATATGCCACCATTTGCACATAGGTGTCTTACATAAATTATTTCGTTTAATCCTTATAGTGCCCCTAGGAAAAATGGATAATTATGAAAAAAATCATTCCTATCTTTCAAATGAAGAAGTAAACTACACAAATTTTAAGTAACTTGTCCAAGCTCACATAACTAGTAACTGGCAGTGTAGGGATTTAAGCACTTTGTTAACACTGCCCAGAGCCCATGTGCTTAATCATCTACAATAAACACTGTGTTTGGGGAGGCAAAGCATCCAACATCTGGTCTTCAATACATCAGCAATGCACAAAGAGCTCATAACTCTTGGCACGTTTTGTTATGTAATATAGTATGATAGTGTCTTGGAGCTAGAGAATATTTATTTACTGGATTAAGTTTGGGATATGAATTAGTGGTTGAGGAGTTGAGGGAACATGAGAGGAGAGATGCTGAAAGTCTTTGGGAGACTGAATGTCAACCAAATTAGAGTGGCCTAAATCATACTTCTCTTTTTAATGGGTTGAATCAGAAGAGTAGCTTGGGATGTCTATATGGAGAGAATGCTGGGTGGAACTGGTGATGTAGCTGTGTTACAATGCTTACCTAATGTGTGAGGCCCTGGCTTCAATCTCTAGCACTGGAAAAAAATAATAAAAATCAATAAAATAAAATGCTGGGTGCCTGCAGCTTTAAGTCCAATTCTAAGCTCTGCCATCATAGTATACACACCCAAGGGTAAGTCACTGTATGTCCTTGGACCTCAATAAAATGGAAGATGGAATTACCTGGTGTATAAGTCTCCTTTTGTTACTTGCCATCTCATTTCTTCTTCTAAAGATCTTTCTCTTTCAGTAAAGATGATGTAGTGATGAATCTTGGGTGAGGTTAGGATTGAACCCTGGGGCTCTTTATCAGCTTCTTTCTTGACTTCTCAAAATCCCTTTCTGTCCCCCTTGGGCACACTCATCTACCTGTTGATGCTAGTGTGGGCCTGTTTGTTTCCTAAATCTTATGAGAGGCTGGAGATAACAGTTCTAGTACAGAGAGAGGTGAACTGGAAGCAGAGGTCCAAATTTGTAACTTCAGTTAAGCCCCTTCCTTCAACATGGCATCTCTACTGACTGTACAATAAGGAGGTTGACTATCTGCTGTTGTGTGCCCTTTACAAAGTTATCTCATGATAATTACATCTGTGTTAGAAGCTTATGGAGGTATAAATTTTCCTCTAAGAGAGGTGAAGGTATTGCTCCTGACACTTCAGTTAATTGCCCCACAACAAGATGCAATCAATTACCTAAGGGACAGATTTCAGAATAAGATGCATAGTTGTTCTGATTCCCTCCCCCACTTGGCTGATTTCTCCAGATTGCTCACTTGTCTTCTTGCCTCTATATTATGGTCTGTATCTAGATGGACCCCCCTAAGCATCATGTGCTCATAGGTGGGGCTCTTAGGAGGTGGCTTGATCATGGGTGTGTGATGCTGAATCAGTCCACTGATTGGTTTAGTATAGTTCTCTGAGTATGGCTGAATGGATTTACTGAAGATAGAAGCACAACCCCAGCATGTTGGGGGCACCAACCAATAGGCTTGTATCCTGGATGGACTATATAGGGAAAGGGAGGCTCACTGCCACAGCTTTCTGCCTGCCATGCCATGGACTGTTTCTCCTCTGCCATGTCCCTCTGCCATGCTGACCAGCCAATTATGGACTCAAAACCTCTACAAACTGTGAGCTAAAATAAACTCTTCTTCCTATAACTTGTGGTATCAGGATTTTGTCTCAGCAATGAGAAAGTAACTAAGACACTCTAACTCTTCCCAACTTGTGCTCACCCTCTACATTCCCACCAATCCTCCTTTCTGAAATATAAATTTGATCATGTTGATTCCATAATTGAAATATTTAAGTGATTCACCATTATCTATAGGGACCAGACCTATCACCATCTTTCTTTCTTTTTTTCCTTCTTTTTTTGGCTTTTTGAGATAGGGTCTCACTATGTATTTCAGGCTGGCCTTGAACTCACTATGTAGCCCAAGGTGCCCTCAAGCTTGTGATGATCCTCCTGTTTCAGTCTGTCGAGTGCTGGTACTACAGGTATATGCCACCATCCATTTTAACTTCTGACTTCACACTAAAATATTCACCTTTCTTAGAAACCACTATTATTTCTCCTTCTTCCATATGTTACCTGTATTTTTTTCTCATCTATAAAACAGGAATACAAATGCCCATATCCCATAGTGTTTACAAGCTTAGTAGAAATGTAGTACGGTATTACTTAAGAGCTGAGTTTAGGAGCTGGGGATATAGCTCAGTGGTGCATCACCTGCCTAACATGCATTAGATCCTGAGTTTGATCTGAATAGCTGAGATGAAAATTTCTTTTAGAGATTGAGAACTCTTATTAGTTAAGAAGCAGATTATTATGGATGTAATTAGTTGGAAGATGAGGTGCCCAGACATACCTTGGATGGACAAGAGTGAAAAGATAACCAAATGATCTACTGAAGAAATGAAGAGGAATTTGAAGAGTTGGGGATAAATAATAGAGGAAGAAAAATGGATTAAAGCACAGTGTAAGCTGTCAACACTAGGTAGGAAAATCAACCATCTTTTTTTTTTTCGTGCAGAATAGAGGGGTTTCCCAGAACACGGTGTTTTCAGGACTGACACAGAAAAGTCCCAAACCAACTCAGACAAGTTTGTCACCCTAATCCATGGTAGGAGCCAGAAATCTAAATAGAAAAGATAACAGAGAGGTCCTTCAGTACAGAGACACCTAATTGTTAATATCAAACTATTTCTTTTACTCTACTGCAGTTTAACTCCCCTCCCCCAAATCTTGCCCCAAACCCTCACTGAAGTCTGTTACACACATAATATTGAATCTATATTATTGTGAGAAATGAATGTCCTGGGATGGTATCCACAGACCAAAACAATGCAGGTAGGAGCAGCACATGGAAGACAGTTTTAATCGTAAAAAGCACCAATTTATTTTTTACCATTTTATAACTGTAATATAATAATGGAGCTGGATAGTGATCTTCAGTGGCAACTAAAATTAAATGAAAGGTCAGTGGAGCATCAACAACTCTCAAACCCAATGACTTACATTAACATCACAAAAAGGTAATTCTAGATATTATGAATTCTCCAGTGATTCACCATTATCCATAGGGTATGATACAGTGAGTAGTACACAATGCTACCTCAGAAGTAATCTAGACCTTTCAAAAGATTAGAATCTGATCATTCCTCTGGATCTGACTGTCAGGTTAATGAAAAAGAGCAGCTAAAGGGCCATGTTAAGCAGTCCCACTGAGAAGCAGTTAGTAAGCTTCATGAAGTGGAAAATTTTGCAGGATAAAGGATTCAGTTATTCAATAAACAAATGTCAAGGAAAAGGTAATCTCAAGATTAAGAAACCTAAGGGGAATGATGATTAAATTTAGTATGTGCACTTTTAAAGATTTTGATTGGCACAAATCAATTATAAAAGAAAATTAATTGTGGAAGTTTGGAAGGAAATTGATATTTGATAACATTAAGGAGCTATGTTATTTTTATATGTGGTAGTGTTGTTGCAGTAGAAAAATAGCCTTACCTTTTAGACATACATATTGTTTTATTCAAGCATCCCAATGGAAAAGGTTAG